ATGTTCACAACGTTTTACCTCATGAGCACTTGCCTCACTCCGCTTGATGTCCCACCAGTCCGGATGCACCCCTGCTAGCTTTCGTCACCTACCCTCGGCCTCAAGTTATTGTTCTCCAAAAAGGTACACTATGACTTTCCTGACCCAGTCCCACAAGCAATCTATTGTCCCCGTGCTGTCCACGTATCCAAGGCATTTTGCTACCAACAGGGATCTCCTGCTCCGGTGCTGACTTGGCGGATAAGCAAGGGGAGGCTCTCAAAGAGCTATGGGACTTTGTTGTCGGCAACGTAGCTTGGTGTGAATGTTTGGCCGAATGAAGGGCGAAGTCACAGCAGAAAGCGATGTGCAAAGGAGGAATTGCTGCCAGTTTTTGGGCTGTGTTCCTAAACTGTGGTCAATGACTCAGGGTGAACTCAGCACAGGAGGCCAGTGGCAGTGGAAAAAAGCATTAAAAAGCAACGAACCACCGGATTTGTGTCATTAATGTTCAAAACTCATGAGGTTCATGAGGATTGCAGCGCCAGCACCTTGAGAGAGCTCTCACCTCCAGACGCACATGGCTATCACACGGATACTTGTTCGCAGTGGAAAGCAAGCCCAGGAAACTTGTTTGTTGATGGTTTCGGTCTACCACAAGGCTGCCCTTTCCGAGGACCTGTGGTTGGTTCATGATCACACCATGGACCGACTCCGTGCTGAGCCAAACTTTGTTGCAGCACAGCAGCGCCTAGCAGAAGCTCAGAGCCAGAAATGCACCTTGCCAGCTTGAAATTCAGGGTTCTGTAGAAAACACTTCGAGGTGGGCAACGAATGACAGCAACTGGAACCAAACTGAGCCCGAGATTATCTCCAAGATGGCGTGAAGGTACATGCAGTAGTATGACTCGCAGACCCAGAATCAGAAGGAAAATACTGTAGCATGTCAACACCTTCAACACTTTCAACCCTTCAACCAGGACATGGCAGAAGCAAGTTGACTGTTCATTTGACCAGGGCAAAAGACCCAAGAACATTCAATGAGACAAATGGTGTGACCATGTGTGAACTGTGAAGCCCAAGCCGCAGCTTGCCGAAAGAGTTCAAGCATCACACAAGGTGCGTGTTGGAACAAAACTTCTAAGCGACCCAGGACAATGCAGAAACTGGAAAGGCCACTGCAAGTTATGCATCCTACGCGGACAGGTAAAGGATGTGAAGTGTGCACCAAGATCTTTCCAGAAGGCCACTGAGGTTGTAAAGATGACAAAGCACAATTGTACTTCCTGATTGCCCCCGTGAAAAGAGACAAGACTGCAAGTCAGAAGGTCAGCTTGACTGAAAATGAAATTGTGACTTGGCAAGACGAGCAACAAAATTGCAAAAACACAATAATCAGTACTACTTCAAGAACCCTAAAGTTTACGCTTCTTACTCTGTTCCAACATGACACTTGCGGTCTACAGCGGATCGGATTAACACGTCCATTTTGCGTGGCAGGTACAGCACGGTCAGATTTCCACACCCGTTTAAATTTATAATAGTAAGGGCTCCGCCCTGGTGCCGCCGACCCCTTTTCTTGGGGGAGGAGCTGGAAGACCAGAAGCCGGACAGGGATTGCTATAAGCATACACCGGCTATGTGCTCAAGACTCTGTATTCTTGATTCCTTTTACCCGGGCTTAGGCTACACTACGGACGCGCCAGTGTATGCACAGTCCTTGTCAGGAAAGCTGAGATGAGCTGTGTGCCTGAAACCTTGACATATCACACTGGTGGTGCTTGCTGCCGGCGGCGCTGCTATAACCATACACCGGCTATTTCCTCAAGACACTCTATTCTTGACACCTTTTACCAGTGCTTATCCTACACTACGGACGCCCTAGTGTATGCACAGTCCTTGTGATGCTTACCCCTCGTTCCGGCTGAAGGCATAGATAAGCGGGGGGTAAATCGACCCCCCAGATTTGCCATAACCATAAGCCGGCTATTTCCTCAAGACACTCCACTCCTCATACCTTTTACCAGTGCTTAGCCTACACTACGGACGCCCTAGTGTATGCGCAGTCCGTATGAGGTTACCCCTCTTTCCGACTCAAGGCATACAAAAGCGGCGGGTAAATTTCCCCCCCCCCGATTTGCGGAGCACGCATGTTCATGCTTGCCAACGAGTGCACCCGGGTTGTTCCAATGTACCCTGCCCAGTGAGCGATGTCGCATTTACATTCTCTAGCGCCAAGTATGTACATAGCAAGCTGCCTCCCAAAACATGTAATCCCTACACGCTTTGCCGACTATGTAACTAGTACATCCGGTGCGACTCGGCTAGCGTTCGACCTGCTCCCCCTGGCTTCAAGTGATGCTTATCCCTCGTTCCGGCTCAAGGCATACATAGCGGGGGGGTAAATTTCCCCCCAACATTGGCAATAACCACAAACAGGCTATGTCCTCAAGACACTCTATTCCATATACCTTTTACCGGTGCGTCTCCTACACTACGGACGACCTAGTGTATGTACAGTCCGTATGATGTCAGAAATGCTTACCCCTCTTTCCGACTGAGGGCATACAAAAGCGGAGAGAATTTACCCCCCCAGATTTGCTGATCACGCATCTGCGTGCCTGCCAACGAGCGCACCCGGGTATTTGCTGATCACGCATCTGCGTGCCTGCCAACGAGCGCACCCGGGTCGTTCCAATGTACCATTCCCAGGCTTCGCGAGGAGCGGTCACGCCCCTCGCGTTGGGTGACGGACAAGTCCAGTGACCTATATAGGGCGATATTACTTAGATTTAGATGTTTTTACAGTCAGCAATGACTCATTTCGTCAAGAGTGGCACGATGCGGTATGATTGTTTCAGGAGTAGGGTGAAGCAAATCCACGCTAGGGCCCCGCTGAAAAGCAAGAACGTTGCTAAGTCGGCAGGATGTCTTGTGGCGCTCCCCGAGTCTGCGCATGTGGTACTGCATCTCCTTGGCTCAGTCTTTTGTCCTCTGTCCCTAAAGGGGATCCAGAGAAGTTTCACAAAGATTGAGCACAAGAAGCACGTCAGCAGGCTTGTAATAGCTTGCAGATACATGTCGGGCACAAGAGAATACAATCCCCACAACAAATCAAATATGCAGGCATGTGTGGCCGCGACTGTTTTGACTTCCAACTATCTGATACGGAACGTAGCCGCCAGGAAGTGTAACTATGTTTGTCCATTTTGCAAAGGGCACGTTGCGAGCAAGCTGAAAACAGGGCAAATAGATCACCGAACCGTGTGCGGCAACCGGTTTTACGTCAAAGAAGGCACTGTCAGCGCGCAGACACGCCAGCATCCGCAAAGGTGCCCCGCATGCCACAGTGTGGTCTGGTCAACACTGCTCTTTGGGCGCATTCAGGCCACACACAACACACCTTCAGGAAAACAATGCCCGACAAAGAGCTGGCTAGTTCCGGAGAGCAAGCGCGACACGACGAAATAGAAAGCGACCATGAATAACACCGGCTTTCGCAGGCAAGGCTGCGGTGCAGGAATGTGCAGCCAAGGGTCCCGGGAAGGGGTTTGGAGCCTGGGCAACGGCGCTGCCAGCTGCGGAGAAGGGTTTGAGGGCGGCCCAAAATGGCTATAATGTTGCTTTCGGAAACCCATAAGAAGAGAAGAGGCAGGCCTGCCAGCTGCCGAGAAGGGTTTGAGGGCCGTCCAAAATGCGTTAACGTTGCTTTCGGAAGCCCATAAGAAGAGAAGAGGCAGGCCTGCCAGCTGCCGAGAAGGGTTTGGGGGCGGTCCAAAATGCCTAACGTTGCTGGCACACCTGCCAGCTGCCGAGAAGGGTTTGGGGGCGGTCCACAATGCGTAAC